GTCAATAACACGAGACCCTCTTGTTTATGTTGATCAATGCTATTCTGTTGAAGCATATAAAAGGTGTTATGAACCTCTCATATATAAATTGAGAGGTGAAACAGATTGGGAATGGGACAAGGTGGTAGAGCCTCCTGTGTTACCTCCTATTAGACATAAGGCTAAAGGAAGACCCACTACCAAGAGGAGAAGATCCACTGCTGAAATTTTAGTCAATCAAGAAAATAAAGAGTACAGACAATCTAGGAAAGGTCAAAGAAATCACTGCAGCAGGTGTGACAGAATGGCACACAATGTAGGGTGATGCAAAGCCCCACCTCGGAATGACTTAGGTCAAACTTATGTAACTGGTCCACGTGAGAACTTGTCGACTGATGTGCATGTTGGTGATGGGTTGTGCAATACTGAGGTGCAGTATGATGATTATTTACATTCAAGAGCATGGAATCTCGATAGCATTGTAGATGTTGATGTTAGGGTGAGGCAAGACATTGGATTAGTAAAAGAAACTGGTGAGGTTAGTTTTGGTTTTCAATGATTGTGTTACTTTATACTTTAGACGGTCATACTAATATGTCTAAGTATTTTCAGGTGGAAAATAACAACCATGCAACTCCTAAATTACTTTACACTGATAATGTATTGCATGACTTGGCACATTTAGAAGCACATGTATCATGGGTTAATTTTTATTTACTGAAGTTTTTAGTTTATTGAAAACCCTGGAAATCATGGAAGTTCTAAACATGCGTCATAGGTGGAAAAATAGAATTTGGATGATGAAGTTGTGGTGTCACAATATGGTGATGAACCAATCAGACCAATGGCACATATGGGATCCAATCCACCAAAGAGATCCAATCCACAAGAGGTGAAGTCCCTGTAATTATAATTCCTGGGAAACCAGTTAAACTACATGGAACAATAATTGTGTCCTGTATGTTTCCTAAAATTGGTCAATTTTGTCCATCTATCTTAAGATTTTTGGCCAATTTTGTCTATGTTTTATAAAATTGGCCAACTTTGTCCAAAGAAATGCATTTTTTGTGGAACTGCCATTACCATATTTCCAAAAGGCCAAAACATAACAAAAACAGAGTACAAAATATATGCTACAAGTTCTTAAATCTTCGCACAATGAAATGCATTCCATTCAATTTCACTAATCAAAAACGATAATAGAACATAGTACAAGTGCTTCTTCTGTACATAACTGATTTAGCCCTAAATCATACCACTTAACTAACTAACAACTTAAAATGCAAAAGATGCTAATGATCTTGCTTTTACCCAAACCTTTCACAACAAGATAGCGGTAATATTGCTTGCGATACCGATTATCTCCTCAAACACACCTCCAAAATCACAACAGCAACAAGAAAAACCTAAATTCTCACTTAACACCTTTCCAATCTCTGATTCTCGGCCTCCAAAATGTTCGCCCGGTCCCTAGTGGCATTTATCCTCCTAAGCAAACCTTGGATGATGATCCTTGCTCTTTCCTCCATCTGGGTGTCGAACCAAAAAAAATAATTGTATACACTAGCATTCGCCCAATAAGGACAAGCCAAAAACCTTTTGCCCAAGTTGTTGCCTCTCCAGCAAGGGTGCAAAGCTGCAAGGCTTCCACAATTATACAATTGGACCAGGGAAGACTGTTGATGTTTTGAGATGAGCGAGATGACGCGGCGGAGGATATAAGCTGGGATATTTTCATGTTGAGAAGAGAAAAAGATGATAAAGTTTGAGCTGAACTAGGTTTATTTATAAAGCAATTTTATTTAAAAAAAATTGGGTCTGGTGGGGCCCATAGAATTTTTTGTGGGAAATTTCCCTCCAAATTGGACCCAACATAGTTACGGATAATCGGGTTTAATTTAGGACTAAATTTGAAAGAAGGGGCTTAGGAAAAATTTTTATTAATAAAATACTAAAGAGTTGACGGCAAGCTCAGAAAACCGTTATGCTAGACGGAAAATTGGCTAGTAGGGTGAAATTGGCGAAAAATTAATACAAAGGGGTAATATGAGCTACACGAAAATCAATTGGGTATGATTGATGCCGAGGTGAAAGCTTTGCGTAGGATCACCATTTTTTCCGTTCGCGAGCCAACCGATTCTCTTGGATATTGGCAATTAGAGGCCATCGAGGAATATCTTGAATGCAGCCAAACTGTCACACGCCCTGTAAATTTCCTGAGGTTTTCGGACAGCCCAGTAAAACTTCCACGTCCATGTCATCCAAATGGTACTTCCCTGTTTACAACAATCAGGGAGGGTAGGAAAGAAATCCTCGTAGGGTTGGCAAACAAACTGTGGAAAAAATTTGCAATTAATGAATCACTAATTCACATAAGAATGTTGGCAAAAAAAAACTGAAAAAAAAATTCAGAAGATATTCATGCTTATGTCGGCGGTAGTTAAGGCGGTCAATATATATCTAGAACTCGAGAGACTAGTCATTGGGACGTCCTTGAAGGAGTACAAGCAATTATACCGTTCAATACCAGAAAATCGAAGGTATTATTTATCCATTAAAAAAATATATTAGTAATGCTTAACTTTCATATAGGAAATAAACTCATCGATAAACTAAAGAAGCTGTAAGATACTCTTCAAAATTCTTTAATCGTCTTTGGGGCATCATTCTCGGGATCCGCTCGTATGCCCAAACACAAATCAATAACAACAACCATAAAAAATAATAATAAACATGTGTATAAATGTTTTTCAAATTGAATATACATGTAGAAGATATGCACAGCCGGTTATATCATCCTTGTATTGAATATATAAATATCATCCTTGTAAACACACAAGGTATTCCATTTACCCATTTCCTTATACACATGGTGCCGGGAAAATGGATTTAGTTCCCTTTTTTCATTCACCAATTCTTCATCGTCGCTTTCCTCATCATCACTAGTCGAAAAGGGATCGCGTGCTTTAGAGCTTTCGCTTGGAGCTACGTAGTCGGAATCAGTCTCATCGATGCGATAATCTTGTGCAAATAAACTTCCACCATCTTATTCATGAACCCGTGAAATACTTGCTTGTTTTTGCCTTGGACCATCTTATTCATCCTCATCCATGTGATCATCTTGTGCAAAGAAATTTCCACCATAATGATTGTTCCCATCTTCTTGGTTAGTGATATCCTCCATGTCTATGTACAAATCCACACTTGTTATTGGCTCGAGGTGGTAGATGATCCCAACATGTTAATTATTCTTTATCTTTATGGCGCGTCTTACACCGTGACTCACAAAAATCAACGAAATGTGGAGTTTCCTAGCAATTTCAAGATCGCAACCGAACGTTACACAAATCATACCTAGCAACTCATCATATGAAAACCTGCTATCAATAACAAGAGTGTCGCCTGGCTTGTTCTCAAATGTGTTCACTACACCATTCTCTATCACATACTTGTTTCTATGAAACAAATGATGTATGGCCCGTGCACGATCATTTTAACTATTTATTGAGGGACAATAAGAAATCTTTAACTATATTAATCGTAATCCCTAAACCATACCAATTTTTCATCCAAACAAAATCTACCAAAATTCATCACATTAATCGCAATCAAATGTGAAAATAACAATAATTCTCACCCAAAACTCAACAACAACATCTACAATACACAAATTTATTCTGTAATACTTAATTAGTAATACTTATTTATACTAAAAAAGTGTCTGTTATTATACAAATTTGATTATTTTACTAATGTAATACTTAGTTATTAGTTATATACAAAATAGAGTTTGTAATTATTCAAATTTATTCTGTTTTCACATGTATTACTTATAAATACTTAGTTATATTTAAAAATTGTCTGTTATTGAACAAATTTGATCTTATTACTAATGTAATACTTAGTTATACACAAAATAGAGTATGTAATTGTTTAAATTTGATTATTAAAGGATTCCATATAAGTGAAAACTAAGTAGTATATAAGTTATATAACGTGTGGAAGTACTTTTTGTGTACGGTTAAAGGCACGTTGTGGGTTGTAGGAGTTCACGTGCCTAGCTTATATTCGGCCATTTCTCATCTCTCTTGCATATTTTTCTCCTTTGTGGTAACAACTTCTTTCGGTTGCCAATTTCTTCTGTGTCTGAATATTGGAGTATACGTGTTTGCCTTGGGGATATTCACTGGATGTGTGTAAACAATTCCAATTTTCGATTCCTCTTGTTTGTTTCTCTTGTTCTTTTGTTTCGTTCAGTCCCCTCTGTGCCGGTTTTTGGCCCCGATTGAAATTATATCATCAGCAGAGCCTCCATTTCATCGTAATCGATCTGTAGTCACTGGTTCATTTTTTACGTTTTTATTTGCTCCTTCTGTATTCACCGATTGGGCTTTTGATGATCATTTCACTAATATAAGTACCACTGTCGCCAATGCTCCTGTTTTCTTCACGGTAACGGGGTAAAAATTTAAATTCTTTTGTCTTACCTTGGCTTTTGATGAATTTAACACGAGGTATTCCACTGATTCCACTGAGGACGAAAACTTGGCTAAATTTTTTGTCGTCAATGTTCAATCTTTTTGAAGTGTTCTTGACTTTCGACTTTGTGAAGCTCTTTGTACTTTGTAGTTTTAAGTCACAAACGCATGCTCATCATAAATTAGGTTACGTGTTTTCTGGATAATACTTGTAGCTCTTGATTTTAATGATTAACATTGGATTTTACCCCAGAAAAATGATGAGTCATTTCATTGTAATGGTCGTTGGATTTCTTTTAATTAACAACGTGGTGGGAGGCCAAGTCATACCAAGGCCATTCAACATTTTCATACTCGCCGGCCAAAGTAACATGACCGGTAGAGAAGGGGTGCAAGGGGTTTGGGACAGGATCGTTCCGCCGGAGTGCCAGCCAGACCCATCCATTCTTCGACTCTCGGCCAATTACGAATGGGAGGAAGCACAAGAGCCGTTGCACAAGGATATAGACGTACGTGCAAAAGGTTTGTGGAATCGGTCCGGGAATGCCATTTGCTCACTCTCTCCTACGGAGGGATCCATATTTCGGTCACATCGGTCTTGTTCCTTGTGCCATCGGAGCCACAAAAATAAGTGAATGGGAGCGTGGCACCATAAATTACAACCGACTAATCGATAGAGCAAGATTCGCCATGAAAACAAGTGGATCTATAAGGGCTATCCTTTGGTATCAAGGTGAGAGTGATACTGAAAAGAAACAAGATGCCATCATCTACAAGGATAAACTGAAAAAATTCTTCACAGATGTTCGGGTTGATTTAGTCTCACCATTGCTTCCTATTATTCAGGTCAGCCCTGTCACTTAATTAAAAATTCATCATCCTGAATTAATAGTTGTATTTTCCTGAATGGTGTCACTAATATATGTTTATCTTTCCAGATCTCCCTTAGTTCTAGCATGCATTTAATTTAGTGATCAAGTAAATGAATGTAGAAAAACTTTCAACTTCAAAACAAGGAACAAAACCAGTGCATTAAACAACTATAACATAGGTTGGGGAGAATAACCCCTGGAAACTGTTTAGCTACTCATACAGATTAATGCTACATCTACTACACCAAAAGACATTATAGAAGTATGCATAATAAACAAAGTTCAAGCTAATAGTCAAGAGACGAGAAAAAAGCTTGTGTAGTTTCTGAGCCACTCATGGGAGTGAAAGGGTTCACTCATGGAACTGAAGCAGAAACTGAGTTGGCTATTCTTCAACTTGGCTTCCTCACTGAGTTATTGCTGCTTCTTCTTCCTTTTTGCCTTCTACCTAGAGTTTTTCTGTGTGTTTTGGCAACTGAAAGGATAACCAGAGATTCCTCCTCTTTTTCTGAGAGTGAAGTTCCCCTTTTATAGGGTCATGCAGCCGGTTTCTTCATCATGAGAGCCTCCCCATGCTTGTAGTTGTTTAATCCTCCCAATGTCTTGAGCCTGCAATCCAACTTGGCTGTTCTTCTTCTCTTCTTCCAGCAGTGGCAGCCTTGCCCTCATTGATCAGCAGAGGTGGCTGAGATTGCGGCTGGGGGACAAGCATGCCTCTTGGAGGAGACATAGTCATTAATGACAAGATGCTTCTTGTCTAAAGGGCTGCTTCTTCGTCCAGCTCAGCAACATTGCCTCAGCAGCCCATAAATTATTCCCTTGGCCTTCAATTTTCAGCAATTATTCAATCCAGCCCTTACCTAACAAAAACACGAAGACGAGTTAAGTAAAATGCGCTAATGCTAGGAAATACCCCCCCAATTTCCTACTAACTACAAAGTTACTTGTGATGCTTTTATGTAACAATTGAACCATTATCAACTCCCCCAAACTGGAAGACTTGCTTGTCCTCAAGCAAAACAACTAAACTCTTCTTGGTATTCACAGAATTGTACAAAGGAATCAGGGGAAAACAACATTGCCAAAATGACTGAGGACTGACTTACTCCCCTGAGTGAGGATTCTCACTCAGGCAGGTGACAATGAGCATACCATTATAAACACAATTGGATAGGAGCTGTCAACCTTTTGTCTTAGATTTAAGTGAGGAAAACTTACACTTCAGGATACCAAATCTTTCTGCAGTCCAGAGTCAAACAACCAACCTTCACATGGAATTAGAACATATATGCTACAAGTGTGAGTTCATGCCACACCTACCAATCCATTCTAAGTTAACCGGTTAAGCTTTTGGAGGTCATTCTTGTGATCTGGTCTTGCCCAAGTTACTTGACTCGATTTACCTACTGAGACTTCAATCATGGACTTCCTGCACAGCCTTTATGCTCTCTCTCTCTCTTTTTTTTTCAGTGGGAATGTAGATGGACCAACCTAATAGGGGTGTTATTCAACCTTATCTCTCCACTGCCTTATACCTCAACCCTTATTACTCCAACAGTTTGAAACTTTTTGTGGTGGTTCCTTGCTGTTACCCCTAAGGTTTCAGTTGATCCATTCCCTAGATTATTTTATTTTTTTTATTTTTTTTTATTTTTTTTTTAGGAAAAAGCAAGCAGGCTGTGAATGGATACCACAAAGGAGGTCTCAGATTTACGGCTTCTCTCATCTAATTGTAGCTCAAAACTAGACACAGCCCACAACAGTGGATTAGTCATACCAAATTTTAAGATTTATGTTCTAGGCAGTTATTTCCACGAGTGGCATTGTTCATGTGAGTGAGTGAGTGAGTGTCAGCCATTCTTTCTTTCATGCATCAGACTCGGTATCGATCAGTGTTTTAACAAAATTTGTTTCAAAACCATTATCATCCTAGACTGTTGACAGCTCCTTAGAAAATTTTTCATTTTTGAGAGATATTTTACAGACTTGATCAAGCCATAAACCTACGGAACCTAAATGACACTTGTCTTGACATTGACCTAACCACAAACTAACTGACCTAACCACAACTAACTACTACATTACTCCCTCAAACTTATTCTAAGCATTGTCCTCAATGCTTATCAAAACAAACCCGGTAACACATATTAAACAGTAAACAAAGAAAAATACAGAACTAACGAGAAATAAGGGAAGTAGAACAACAGAAACAACACATTGAACATTAAACAGAAAACAAATAAATTGCTGATTAAGGGAAGTAGAACAATACTTCCCTGAGTGTTCATTGAGGCATGCCATGGAGTGGGTGGACTGGTGGATCATGCGGCATTGGGCAGTCTTCAGGGCATCCAATGCACTTGTGCATTTCCTGCAGGAATTTCTCCGTCCTCATCTGGCATTGGTGGACGTAATCCAGGATGAACCTGGTCTGCTTGTTGAAATCCCTCTGCCTCAATTGTCCAGCTGGAGTGGGAGTGGATGTTGCTTGTCCTGAGGATGAGGCACCTGGGGGTTTCTGGTCCAACTTATGCATCCTCAAGGGTTGCTGCAAGTTGCTCTCTGCGTCTGTGTGCAGGAAGGTCACCCCTGCCCTTTTGCACAGTATGGTGACCATAACTGGGAAATACCAGCTCTTCACCTTTGGATCAGTGATACATCGGGTGAGTTGCTCTCGGATGACTGAGGGTGCATCAAATGGTGTGTCCGTGACAATGGCATACAGCAGTAGAGCCATCTCATAGGTGACCTTAGCAGTGTAGGATGTTGGAATCAAATTGCAGCAGATGTTGGCATCAGGAGAATAACCCCTCGACATTCTTTAGAATAGTTTGCCATTATGTTTTGTCGACTTTGTTGTCGATCTGAAAGAGTTGTCAGGAAAGTTAACGATAGAAGAACATAATTATATTCCAATAATTTTTGGAACAATTTTGGTTTTAAAAACATGATACTATGTACGGAATTAAATGTTTTATGCACGTGAAAGTTTCTCATAGCAATGCAAAAAGTATGCTCATGGTGAAACGAAATTGATAACTTTTATGAAAGTTGTGATTTCTTGATCTTTGGATGAAAGAGATGTTAAGTGTTTGTTTCCTGTGAGTTCAATTGAATGTTACAAACTAAAGTTGTATCTATTGATTCTAAGTGAGAAAACACAAATGAAAGGAGGTGTCTACTAGTTCCAAGCGAAAGGCATATTTGAAAGAATACGTCAAGTGGTTCAAAGTGAAAAGACACGGGTGAAAGTCATGTCTAGTCATCCAAATGACACACTAAGGTTATGACCTTAGTTGATAGCCAAGTATTACTTCTGCAGTGAAACTTTTGAATTGGCAATGCTTACTTTTGCATTGTTATGTTCAATATCAATGCATTTGATATGGGTTTATGCTTGGAAATTTTATTATTTACGGTTGCTAAGGTATTATATATCTACATATGATAAAAATTAATTAGTTTCAAATATCTTAATAATAAAAATGTGAAACATACGCATAAACCATGGTTGCAAGATTACTTCCAAATAAAAGTTGGAAGTTATTGCTGATACAATACTTTGTTGTATGTGAACTTAATAATTTTAAACTAAGGAATGCAAAGTAATATTTTGTCACTTTTATAGATAATTGCTCATGTTTGTGTGCAGGTTTATCTAGTGAAAATAGTGGAGAAAATACTTGATACATTTTGCATGTAAATCCCTAGTCTAAAATTATTGTAGTAGGTAACATGGACTAGCATTTAATAAACAACAAATTGTTTGGCTAGAAATACAAAACTCTATATGTCATGGCAATGCTATGCGAGTGAGTTTAAGTAGCCAAAAGATTTGTGGAATAAATATTATTAAATACGTGTCAAGCGTACAATGAAACTCCCTAAAAAATATGTGTCTCCAAATAAAATGGGTAAGGGAATAAAATTATACTATCTAATATAAAAAGTTCAAAGTGACACTACATATTGTTGTGTTCTGAGTTGGGACAAAGAACACTTAAGTGTGTGGTTATGTGAACACTAAAGTATCTAAACTACTTATCATTGATTATAATGTATTAATATAATCAATGGATGTAGATTCATTTAAAATTTTTTAAAGTTTCTAAACCAAGTAGCTAATGTATCATCTTTTGAATCTCTCAGTTTCCAAAGTGCAAGTGGTTCTATGACTGAACCAAAGAGAAAAATATTGACTTTCTGGTTTAAGCAAATTCTAAAGTTTGTAAAAGTATTCTTGGAAGTTGTATCCTCTAAGGCTGCTGTCTTCCTAGTGAGAGCAATAAAAATACTCTACTAAGTAAAACTTTATGATGGTTTTTGTATAGTAAGTTAAAACCAATGAGTTTTTTTTTTTAATTTTAGGCTGATGTATTTGAAAAAAAGAGTTAATCATGGAATGCACTTGACATTGTCTAATGATGTATGTGTCCAAATTATTTAACTTGAAAGGTTATAGACTAGTACATTGTAAATGGTTGTTCCATGAGTATTATGCCGTTGATAACAAGATACATCAATAGTGTATTTGGACTTGAAGTGTCATGATTACTTTAAATAGTTTGACTTGTACATTTTATCCTACTGGTTAGAAGTTTACATTAAATTTTTCATGATCACCTGTTAAATATGGAAAATATTATTTTAATTGTGACTCATATGAAGATATGTATTTGGAGCTTCTTAATGCTTTCTGCTATGAAATGATAAAAAGATGTGTGTACTAGTGAAGTCTTGATTTGATTTTATACAATTGCACAATGATTGATCTAAGTTACTCTCACATGGTACTTTTATGTTGTAAATTGCATATATAAAAATTTGTGAGAGTATGTAATAGATATTTGCTTTTGTATAAATATTTATGCTCAATGCACATATTAAGTTTAAGCCGTGCAGTAAATACTAAGAACAAATCCTCTTTCTAAGTTCAAATTAAATGAGCTTGGTGAAAGAGGTAATGTCTTAGTCGTTATACTGAAGGAAATA